GCACTTTGTTTTTGTACCTTTGGCAGAATAGCTGACTAGCTGAGAAGAGCCCACCTCCCAGCTCCACTAGGAGGCCCCTCAGGGCAGCGCGCTCTGTGTTAGCTTTCTCCTCCCCAGCAGCTATTGTGCTGTAGGCACCAGATGCGTCCTTCCCAAATAATTGATCCTAATGAGACATTTTTGGTACCAGCAATAAATCATTTTGTAATACTGGGCTAGTAGAATTTTGGTTTTGTTGAAATGGACTAATGTTCATTCATGCTGGCTTATCTGAGGAAGTTTAATCAGTGAAAAGTTGTGGGACAAATACCCTAAATGTGGATATGGGGAGCCATTCATCTTGGGAGGCTCAATAATCCTTCTCTGAAGGTGTTGGCTTGCCCTCCTCTTCAGTAGCAGCATCATGTGGTGAAACCATTGGACTGGTGTCTGCTTCGAGCTGGGCCTACTTTGGTTTGAGTGAGGTGAGTGTTCCGATCATAACTGGGAAGATTTGTCATGAGATAAATATGCCGGCATTTCTGGTAGGACAATAGGTGACATCCTCTTCCTGCGAGAGGCGGAAAAGGCAGGGCATTCGGGGAGGCCTGCACCGTGACCTGGGGTGAAGGAGTGGCGTTCAGAAGGTGGCAGGCTGCCCCGAGTTCCCTTCCTCTGGAGCGTCACTCTGCCTCACTTTCCCACGTGGGACATGGGTGGTCAGTGAAATTGATGCCCAATGAAGACAGTGAAAGCTACTGCCTGGGAGGCAGGTACCACGCTTGAGGGCATTTGAACCTTTCCAGCAGCCCACTGAGGTGACATTAGGATGTCCTCTTCAGATGAGAGGAAACGATGGCTTGCAGCGGTCGAGCGACGTGCTGAGGCGGACTGTTAGTAAATGGAAAAAGCTGAGCTGTGCATCAGGCGTTTCTTGCCATAAAACCTGTGCTTTGTTTTTGTTTTTTTCTGGGGGGGGGTGGTTGTTGTTGGGATTTTGTTTTGTTTTGTTTGTTTTTGGCTTTTTGAGCCCAGGTCTTGCTATGTAGTTCTGGCTGACTTTGAACTCACTATATAGTTCAGGCTGGCCTCCAACTCTCGGTAATCCTGCTTCACCCTCCCGGGCGCTAGTATTGGAGGCGTGCGCCTCCACTGCCAGCTAGCCCTCTGCTTTGAAATCACTATACTCAGCTGCCTCTGGGGCCTCGTGAGAACCTCATGAAAGAATTAAGTAAATAAATCTTGGGAATATCTTGACTAGAAAGAGTACTCAGTATTAAAAAGAATATTATTTGCTTTCTTGAGAATTCTCCACCTGGAGTAAAAACAGAAGCTGTAAAATGCCGTACACTGGTTGATATGACTTTAAAAGGATCCTCTGGGTGCTGTGTTGCTGATGGGTGATTACTTGGGCGTTCACTGCCTTGCATGCCGGGCTCAGCGGACAAAGGTTTATTTGGGGCTGGACACATGCTGTACGCAAACATTCGAGGCTTATGCTGCCTTTTCGGAACTTACATTGTTGTCTTTTTTTCCGACCAGTAGGTGGAAATAGAACTGAATCTTTCAGCACTTGCTCTTTCAACAGAATCCTGGCAGGATTCCTTTAATTTCTGCCTCAAAGGAAAAAAAGAATAAAGAAAAAAGATCCTCAGGAGAAGTTCAGACTGTACGGTTAGAGGTCAAAGTGAACAGTTAGAGGACTGCAGTTACTTCTGATCCGATGATGGGATAATGGTTTGAGCCTCTTGGAAGCCGGGGTTCTGGAAGCAGCCGCTGGCAGCCGCGGCGTCCTGTGCGCTCTGCTGGAGCTGGGCCCTCGCGAGGGCCTCGCCCTGTGCCGATCCACACATCTGCTCCTAAGGCTTTTCCTCTCAGCTTTCACCTTTTGCCCTTACCATTAAATTGTATATCATGTTTGTTTCCAGAAACCATAATGATGAAATAAAAACTGTCAAATTGGAATAGTATGTAAATAAGAGATAACGGAGAATCTGAATACTAGCTTCTCATGAGGCCCTTACCTTCCATGCTTTTTTTGTTGTTGTTAAATGTATTTAGTACAGGGTCTACAGGGTTTCACTACACAGATCAGACTCGTAGTGATCCTCCTGTTTGTAGCCTCCCAAGTACTGCAATTATGGGCGTGCACCGCCATGCCCGGTCTCAGTCGCTGTCTCAGGGTTCCCCAGGGGTGGGGCCGGCAGGGCATAGCAGGGATTGAACCCCAGTCCCTGCATCTGCCTAAGCAGGTGCTTTAGTCCACTGAGCTATTTGGTTGGCTCTCCCATGCTTTTTTGTATAGCTATCCAGATGTTTTACCATAATATAAAGTCCCCTATCTCATCAAAATAAAGTTGGCATTTGGTAATAAAACTTTGCTTATTGCCTTTGTCACTTCCTTTTCACAGCTGCCAATGAACATGACTAAGTCTAGTGGCTCTCAACTAGGGACAGTTCCCCAGCCCAGCCCACCCACCCCACCCACCCCACCAGTGATACTTGGCAGTGTCTAGAGACCCTGTTGGCAGTCCTGACCTGGGCGAAAGGTTGCTGTTGACACTTAGTGAGTGGAGGCCAGAGGCGTCACGAAACACTGTGGTGCAAAGGACAGCCCCCTGCCAAAGAACGCTCCAGCCCTAATCTTGTACTGATGCAGAGAAAGCCTGCGCCAGGGAGCCCCATTTTTTGCAATGTGTGCATGTGCTCTATGGTGTGGCTTTCTGATTCTGCTTTAACATTTTTCTTTCTCACAGTATTTTAAGGTTGTTTCCAACTCACTGTTATTAAAACCAACGTTGCAAGGAACATTGTTCTTTATCTTTGTGTACTTTGAGATTTCATTTGGGTAAGATAAAGTCATAAAAGTAAAATGTCTGACTGTAGGGATTTTATTTGAAAGATAAAAAGCGATACTTTACACTCTAATCTGTGACCTATAGTTCCATAAAAGAAAAGATCTAGAAACAAAAAAGTTAAAAATTCACAGCCAGCTCAGGTTATGGTAGCAAAACCTAACTAAACCTGATATGAGACTGTTTAGTTTTTGTGTATTCCCTTTCATGTGACTGTTCAGAATCCAAAACCATGCCGTGATGGGTCGTCGGATGCTATCCCAGGCTCTCCACGATACACATGCTATCGAGCTTCATTGATTTCTTTTAGTCTGAAAAGCCATTGACTCCCAGAGTTGAAAGCTTTTCTGCAACAAGCATGGCCATGTGATCAGAAGCACTGTTCCAGCAATTTAATATCTCAGGGACGTGCCACGTTCTCTAGAATCCTCATGCATCAGAAAGAGCGGATCGCGGTGACTTCAGTGGTGTTCTCTCAACAACTAATATCCCTTTTTAAAGTAATCTGAGACTTACAATGTAAAGTCACATGTCACCTTGTCATCAGCCTTATCGCTTTCTGTGCAGACCAGCCCTCGTGAAGTAGAGCCCGGGAAAGTCCTTCTGCTTACGTGAAATGTTGGCAATGATTGTCACACTCTTAGTGCTCACTGTCTCACACTTAGCAAACGTCCCCAAGCCTGACCTCCACAGTGATGCCTGAGAGGCAGGCCTCGGCCTCGAAGGGAATGGGTCAGGAAGCTGAGGGCTTGAGCACGAAGTTACACATGCGGGGACAGAAGGGCCCAGGCCTGCCGCTGTCCTGTCGTGTCTGCCCAGCGTTACTCCAGTTCACCTCCGCTCATGTGAACAGGAACCTAGTATTTCTATATTGGGTGCCACTAAAACTTTTTTTTAAGTGTGTTTAGTACAGGGTCTACCAGGTGTCACTACACAGAAAGACTCATGGTGATCCTCCTGTTTCAGCCTCCCCAGCGCTGGGATTACAGGCCTGCGCCATCATGCCCAGTCTTAGTGGCAGTCTTAGCAGGGTGGGGGCAGGAGCGGCATGGCATGTGGTGCTGGGGATCTACCCCGGTCCCCACGCCTGCCTAAGCAGACACTTTAGACTGCTGAGCTGTCTGGCTGGCTCTTCCTTTTTTAAAGAAAATATAATTTGTCTCCAGTTGCTTTTTTTTTTCCATTAAGAAGCTGCATTCAAACTTGAGGGCAAATAGGCAAGTGTTGCTGCAGTCAAGCAGATATTTTCATTGCAACATTAAGGCAAAAATCACTGGAGCAAATCTGAGGTAACAAAATTCTCTCACCAAAGAACTCCAGCACCAAGCATTATTTGAGATGGGAAAATGTTCACATCTTCCCTGGAGCTTGGATTTGATGCATTATGAGGGGAAAGCTTTCATTTGTGTTTATTTCTCTTGGTTTAAATCCCAAGACGTTGTCAGTTTCCATTATGAATGTTGCAGGTACAAAAAGAAAACACTATCTTCAGTTCTCTCCAGTGGAGCCAATCCAGGAACCTCCAGACGAATTCTTGCCCAAAGTCAACTGGAATCCTGATTGCTGAATTCTGTGTGTGTGAACAGGGTGGACTGGAGTCACGTCCAACAAAGATGCCCATAAGCTGGTTCTCCTGCTGCTGCTGCCATGGTCTTTGCTGAGTCCTACTCTCAGATTTCTCGAGGAACCAATATGTGAGGAACCTTTCCATTCCTTGGCCGAGTGTCTAATGTCCCTTGTCCACCATATCCTCTGCATCTCGATTTACTGATTTGTTTCCAGATTCCAAATGTGTATTTAATTTTACTATATTGAAGGGGAATCCCAGGGTATGAACTCTGCAAACTACTTAAGCACTTGTGTTATTGCTTTGCTTGCCAGGCTTTTATTTTTGTTTTTAAATGTTTTCAACTTCTTGTCCATGGTCCTGTGAGTGCTCTTGTGTATTTTAATCTTTGAAGAAAATATAAGTACACTCGCTGTGGTTCCACATTAGAATACTCTTTTTCCCGGCAGGCCTGAGCCTTGCATTACGGTTCCTTTAGGTGGACTCCCAGCTATCGCCTTGCGTTCCTGAGCGCCCTCCTGCCTCGAGGCCTTTGCGCTTGCTGGGCTTGCGCGCTGGGGCGCGCTTTCCTACGTCCCGCGTCATCGTCGTTGTACCTGATGGCTAACGTTAGTTCACGTCGAGACTTCTTCCCAGATCGCACCCCAGCCTTTTCCTCGCCGAGACTAGCCGTTCGCTGTGATCGCTTCGTGGCTCTGGATCTCTCGGGGGGCTGGGACCAGCCGGTACACTTCTCGGTAATAGCTCTGCGATGAATGAGCAGGCCAGCCCTGTGCATCTCTGGATGTGCAGCCAGCTCTTCAGTCTTCGTCCTTGTTCCCAGGCCGGCATCTGGCCTCCAGCGCGCGCTTCTTCGCTGTCGGCCGGTCCTTTCCGCGGGCCGCGTCTGTCCGCTGTCCAGCCTTCGTTCCGCTCTCCAGCACAGCCGCTTTCCTTCGTAGGCCCAGCCTGCCCGCTCCAAGCTGACGTTGTGAGCAGTTCTCTGTCCTCTTGTTTCTTCTTGGCGTTAGAAGCTCGTTTTATCGTTTTTCATTTTATAAAGAGACTACAAAATAGTATTAAAACAAGGGGCCAGGGAGATGGCTCAGTGGAATAAGCGCTTCCCTGGCAAGCGCAAGGGCCTGAGTTCAATCCCTGGTTCCACCAAAAAAAAAAAAAAAAAGTATTAAAACAGAAAAATTACAAGTGACACAGAATTTCACTTAACAGAGTGATATGAATGTCACAGTATTTGTTGTCATGCACGGCATAGTCCTATTACCAGATATGCGTGCAAAATTGGAAGGAGAAAGAAAATATGTCAGAACTTAAAAGGAGAAACAGTTGAGAGGAGACAGAACAAATTAAACATTACCGAGCAGGCCAGGAAGATAGCTCAGTAGCATAAGTGCTTTCCTGGCAAAGCACAGCGTCCTGAGTTCAAGCCCCGTCCTGCAAAAAAAATAAAAAATAAAAACATTACCTTTTTCTATAGACCAGCAGAAATCCACAGTACAGTTAGCCAAATCATCCTGCTTACATACGTAGATATGCCTCTTGCCCCCACTCCCTCTGCTGTCCTTCTCCTCAACTCAGTAACTCTTTGCTTTTGAATAAGTTCATTCCCTTTCCCCAGTATCTACTGCACCCTTCAGATTCCATTTTCTCATTCAGGTTCTCACACTAAGGAGACAATACGATGTTTGCACATGTGGGTCTGATTTATTCCACTTAAGAGCATGATCTCTAGCTGCATCCATTTTCTGACAAAATTCTCAAATTTATCCTGTTTAACAGCTGCATAATACTCCATTGTGTAAAAATACCACATCTTCTTTATCCATTCCTCAGTTGATGGGCATCTGGGCTGTTTCCAAAAGGTTGTTGTAGACATAATTTGTGTTTATTTGATAGCAGTTCTTCAAGTATACTGGGAAGTTCAGAAAACTTAGGACAAGTACCCATTAACCACTTCTCAGAGTTGACAGTGCCAACAATTTGCTGTAGTTGACTCAGATTACCTTTAAAGAAGTAAATGTTTACAGAGATTGTAGAAGGTCTTAGTCCCCACCATCTCATCTCCGCTGAGAGGAAACCACTGTGAGCAGGTGGCAGACGTGGTTGGAAAGCAAGCCGACGCCGCCAGAGATGGCACTTTGGCTGGTCTTGTGGGTGGGAGATGTAATCTCA